CATGGGCCGCAGGCCCGACTCGCCCTCGATTTTTGTTCCCCCTTTTTTTCCACGTCAGGTGGAGTGGTGTCCGCCGCAGGAGTGGCATCCGCATGGGCCGCAGGCCCGACTCGCCTTCGTGTTTTTTCCCCCTTTTTTCCGCGCCAGGAGGAGTGGCATCCGCATGGGCCGCACCAGGCCCGACTCGCCTTCGTGTTTTTTCCCCTTTTTTTCCCCGTCAGGTGGAGTGGGATGGCGCCGGCAGCTCCGGGTGGAAGGTGCCTCGCAGGCCTGATTTTTTTTTCACGCGTTTGCGTCATCTCGCCACTTGAAGGCCACCGTCGAAGGTCAGGAGGGAGAAGAACTTCAACTCCTGGAAGGAGAGACTCGGTGTTGTCGTTAGCGTGCACGCTCCTGGCTGCAGGATGACGTTCGCAAGGAGCTGGCGGTGAAGGCGAGGTTTTTGCGGAGCGAGTTGATGAGGTTTGCTTACACTTGGCCGCAGGACGTTCTCATCCAGAAGCTGGAGGAGGAGCTGAAGGAGGTGAAGTCGGAGAAGGAGCTGTGGCCGGCTTGTCAACTCTCTTGTTTTTGCTCTGCGGCAGGAGGCCCTCGAGAAGCGGTTCTACGAGAAGGTCAGGGGAGGCTTCTTTTTTTTTGTATGCACTTCCTTTTTTGCCAGGTTCAGGAGAACACCAGGTTTTGCGCGGAGCTGGCCGCGGAGCGGAAGTGGACTGCTTCGTACCAGGAGCGCGCAGGTGCTGGTTGTTTTTTTCATGCGTGACCTGGGCAGGCTGATCACGGGCCGCTGCATCTGGAGAACGTTCAGCTCAGGGCCCAGGTCGCGAGCCTCGAGGTTGGGAGAGATGCTGGGCCTTGATGTTCTTGTTTCCTGACAGGCTTTGGTCCCGGCCAGCAAGCGCCCGAAGGCCCTATCGGTTCGTTGTAGGACTCCGCAATTGCTCACTTTGATTGACAGGTGGAGCCGGCTCCAAAGCCGAAGGGCGAGCCCCCGGTGAAGGCTGCTCATGTCATGACACAGTGTTTTGGCACGTAATCCACAGTTTGCCCCAGAGGAAGTCCTCATCTGGGCCTGCGTGAGGCTCCTGCTTTGTGAGTTTTTTGTCAGCATCTTGTCATGCCACCGGCGCAGGATGGAGGTGTGAGCGGGGCGACATCGAGCCGATCTGTGAAAACAGCGGTCGGGACCTGGGGAGAGAGGGGGTGGGCGGGAGGGAGTGCCGAGCAGGCACAGTGCCGAGCGGGCACTTTAGGTAAACGTGCCGAGCGGGCACTCTAGATTAGGAGTAGGCAGTGCCGAGCGGGCACTTAGGGGGTGCCGAGCAGGCACAGTGCCGAGCGGGCACTTAGGGGGTGCCGAGCAGGCACAGTGCCAAGCAGGCACTTAGGGGGTGCCGAGCGGGCACTAGGGGGGTGCCGAACAGCACAGTGCCGAGCCAGGCATTAGGGGGTGACGAGCGGCAAGGTGCCGAGCGGCACTAGGATAGGTAACGGTTCGGCCAACGGCCCCCTTAGTACGGGTTCGCCCAACGGCCCATAGTACTGGTCCGCCCAACCTCGTTTGATACTGGCTCGCCCAACGGCCCCCTTAGTACGGGGTTCGCCCAACGGCCCCCTTAGTACGGGTTCGCCCAACGGCCCCTTAGTACGGGTTTGCCCAACGGCCCCTTAGTACGGGTTCGCCCAATGGCCCATAGTACTGGTCCGCCCAACCTCGTTTGATACTGGCTCGCCCAACTGGCCTAGCTCTGTGCCCCCCCCTGAGGCGGTTTTTTATTTATATAAAAATCTAAATGCTTCCATCCCTGGCAGGTTGTCTCCCGTGCTTTCTGTGCCCCTCTGAGGCGGTTTTTTATTTATATAAAAATCTAAATGCTTCCATCCCTGGCAGGTTGTCTCCCGTGCTTTCTGTGGTTTTCTGAGGCGGTTTTTTATTTATATAAAAATCTAAATGCTTCCATCCCTGGCAGGTTGTCTCCCGTGCTTTCTGTGCCCCCTGAGGCGGTTTTTTTATTTATATAAAAATCTAAATGCTTCGATCCCTGGCAGGTTGTCCCCGTGCTTTCTGTGCCCCCTGAGGCGGTTTTTTATTTATATAAAAATCTAAATGCTTCGATCCCTGGCAGGTTGTCCCCGTGCGTTCCGTGCCCCCTTGAGGCGGTTTTCCACAGGCATTTAGATTTTTATATAAATAAATCGAGCCGCTGCTGCTCAGACACCTTCGACTTGGCACACAGGCATTTAGATTTTTATATAAATAAAAAAAGCAATCCTCATCCTTGAGGTGTGTGATATAGGGATGCCAACATGCGAAGCGCACGGAGCTGAGTTCCAGGTCGTTGGGCGAAGCAGTATTAATCCTACGTGCCCACTCGGCACTGCATAAAAACCTCCCCCAGCGCCAGACCCAGGCCATTTGACAAGCCGCGAGGAAGTATTATTTTCTTTTTTTTAAAAAAAATAAATTTTTTTATTTTATATAAAACTAACTAAACGCATGCATTCCTTGTCAGACTGCCTGCAGAGGGATTGAAGCATTAAGATTTTATATGAACAAAACCGCCTCAAGGGGCACAGAGCTAGGCCATTTGACAAGCCGCGAGGAAGTATTCTTTTCTTTTTTTAAAAAAATAAAGTTTTCATTCTATATAAAAACTAAACGCATGCATTCCTTGTCAGACTGCCTGCAGGCCAAGAGTTTCACACTGCTCGAATCGATAGGTCCCCAGACACCTTGCGCAGGGACCTATCCGTAAGCACTTAATTGAAAAAATAAGTTTTTATTTTATATAAAAAGCTAAACGCGCGCAGTCCTTGTCAGACTGCCTGCAGGCCAAGAGTTTCACACTGCTCGAATCGATAGGTCCCCAGACACCTTGCGCAGGGACCTATCCGTAAGCACTTAATTGAAAAAATAAGTTTATATTTTATATAAAAAGCTAAACGCGCGCATTCCTTGTCAGACTGCCTGCAGAGGGATTGAAGCATTTAGTTTTTTAGAAAAAATAAAACCGCCTCAAGGGGCACAGAGCTAGGCCATTTGACAAGCCGCGAGGAAGTGTTTCGATAAAAAAAAAAAGTTTTTATTTTATATAAAACCTAAACGCTCGCATTCCTTGTCAGACTGCCTGCAGAGGGATTGAAGCATTTGTTTTTTTAGAAAAATAAAACCGCCTCAAGGGGCACAGAAAGCACGGGATGCCAGGATCGAAGCATTTAGATTTTCGCTATAAATAAAAAAGCGCCTCAGGGGGGCACGGAAAGCATGGGAGACAGCCTGCCAGGGATGGAAGCATTTAGATTTTTATATAAATAAAAAACCGCCTCAGGGAGGCACGGAAAGCGGATGCCAGGGATGGAAGCATTTAGATTTTTATATAAATAAAAAACCGCCTCAGGGCGGCACGGAAAGCACGGGAGACAACCTGCCAGGGATGGAAGCATTTAGATTTTTATATAAATAAAAAAACCGCCTCAGGGAGGCACAGAAAGCACGGGATGCCAGGGATGGAAGCATTTAGATTTTTATATAAATAAAACCGCCTCATAGCACAAAAAGCACGGAAGACAACCTGCCAGGGATCGAAGCATTTAGATTTTTATATAAATAAAACCGCCTCAGGGGGGCGCAGAAAGCACGGGATGCCAGGGATCGAAGCACGAGGGATCGAAGCATTTAGATTTTTATATAAATAAAACCGCCTCAGGGGGGCACAGAAAGCACGGGATGCCAGGGATCGAAGCACGAGGGATCGAAGCATTTTGATTTTTATATAAATAAAAAACCGCCTCAGGGGGGGCACAGAACTAGGCCATTTGACAAGCATCTCCAGGACCGGGTGGAGTTGCCGCTCAGACGCCTTCGACTTCGGCTGCTGTTTCCGAATGTCCGGGGCCTGGTTGCCAGACATTGCCAAGCATTCGGGTACTTGCTGGGACGTGCCATCTTTATCTTTTGAAGCATTGTCTCAGAAGGAACTTAGCTTTCGACACCTACCATGACCATGGATGCCGCGCGGTCCCTGGCGGTGCAGCTCGTGCTGAGCCCAACGCATCGAGTTGGCGAGAAGTGCGGCTTCAGGATCTCCCCCGGCTCTGCGTCGTCCTGCTTCAAGATGATGATGCACTTGGTGCACCCGGACAAGTGCACGGACCCCCGCGCTGGAGAGGCCTTCGGTGAGATGCAGAGCAAGAAGAGCTTGGCGGTCGGCAGTGATCCAGACGCTACTCGCCAGCGGCCCATGACTGAGCTGGAGGGGCTTCTGCACCGCGCGCTGTGCAAGATCCGAAATCCGGTGGAGACCGCTGCAGAGGTCATCAATTTCTGTGACGGCCTTCTCCGTCGGCGCAAGCGCCTTGAGAGATCGGTGTGCCAGGAAGCCTTGGCGAGGCTCCAGTGGCTCAACCTCAATGATGCCAACCTCGAGGAAGCTGAGTCGGTGCGGGAGCTCCAACGCATCTTTGAAAGGAGGCTCTCAAAGGCTCTTGCGGAGGTTCAGGAGCAGACGGAGGAGCCGGCCGAAAAGCCGGCTGAGGCCCAGGAGGAGACGGAGGCCCAGGAGCAGACGGCGGTACATGAGCCGGCAGAGACGGAGGCCCACGAGCCGGCCGAAAAGCCGGCTGAGGCCCAGGAGGAGACGGAGGCCCAGGAGGAGACGGAGGCCCATGAGCCGGCCGAGGAGCCGGTCGAGGAGCCGGTCGAGGAGGCGGCCGAGGCCCAGAAGGAGACGGAGGAGCAGACGGAGACGGAGGCCCATGGGCCGGCCGAGGAGCCGGCTGAGGCCCAGGAGGAGACGGAGGCCCATGGGCCGGTCGAGGAGCCGGCCGAGGAGCCGGCGGAGGAGCAGATGGAGACGGAGACGGAGGAGCCGGCGGAGCAGATGGAGACGGAGGTCAAGGAGGAGGAGGTGGAGGAGGTCGAGGAGGAGGTAGAGCTTCCGACACCCGCCCAACTGGGGCACTACACGCAGTTCAAGGAGCAGTTTACCGAGCCTCCCGAGGATAACCTAAAACACCATCGCCTTGTTTGGGAGCGGACGGACGTGTTCACCATCAGCAACGCTCTGCATCTCGACGCCGTGCGGCGATGCCCCGACCACAGTCTCTTTGATGTGCTGATGAGCCTGTTCAAGCGCTCTGTGAATGTGGACCAGGACGGCATTGGGTGGATTCCCGTGCTCCTGCGCCCAGGCCGCACCGCGCCTGGGCTGAAGGGGCGGATCTTCTCCGGCATCGGTCGGGTGCCCGCACAGGAGGCGCCTGCCAAAAAGCGCAAAGCCAATGAGGGCGCCGTGGATTCCGCTCGGGCAGAGTTCATGAAGCAGCTGCCGCCGGAGATTCGCAAGGAGATCGAGATGGGGGTCCCAGACACGCTTGTGGGGCGCTCTGCATTTGCCTTCAAGAAGTTGGTCCGCTACATTGCGCGGCATCGCCTTGGAACCGTCGAGCTGGACATCACGAACTCGTTCTTCCAGCTCTTGAACCGACAGAAGCCGCTGCCGCCCATCATGGCGGAGTACCTGGACCACCGTGAGGAGAAGCTCGCGCAGATCGGCCGCGTGCTCTTCCACAAGCTGCCCGAGGCCCGCCGGGCAGCGTGGCGAAGGAGCTGATGATTGCCCTGGGCTGGGGGGGTGGTTTCGCAAACTGGACGAGCAAGGTGCTGCAGGACATACCCTTGGCTTCGGATGAGGGGGAGCGCGGCGAGGTGGCTGCTTGGCTCTACGGCGTCGAGACGGCGGCGCGCCTCTACCACGTGGCCGTTTTTGAGCTGCTGCCACAGAAGGCCAAGGACTGGCACATGGAGCAGGGCCGCTCCACTGCCTCGGGGGCCTTTGCCCTGTACGCCCACCACGAGAGGTTGCAGATGGAGAAGATGGCGGCGGCAGCGGGCAGGGCCTTCAACGGTACCCCAAATTGGATTGGAGACTCAAGTCGAAGATGGAGTTCTCCGGGTACCACCAACTGCTCCAGCGCTGCAGGCAGCACGTCATACTTGGACGGGCGAGGGCAAACACCGTGGACTTTGCGAAGCTGGCGGCGGCGAAGCTGGTCCCGGTCGTACACGTTCCGGTGGAGGGGGGTGAGAAGAGGACCACCTACGAAAGCTTCGAGAAGGGAGGCTTCTGGCTGGTGCGAAACCGGGACGACTTGGGCCGACCGTGGAAGACCTGATGAACAAGATGTGTTGCCCGGTCTTCGAGACAGCCGATGAGAACTACGTGCCGCCGCCGCCCCTCAACGATAATGCCTTCTTCACCGGTCTGTCCTCGTCCGTTCTGGGGCGTCTGGCAGGCCCGCAGATGGCGGACCTCGACGGCGACGAGACACGGCACAAAATCCTCTTTTGCGACGGCATGCTCTACAATTTCAAGGAGCGTGTCCTCCGATCACCGATCCCCGCCGACCGCATGGGCTTCCACGCGGCGGCGACCTCAGAGATGTGGCAGCCGAGCAAGGCGACCAAGCTCTTCGAGCACATCCTGGCTTTCTTGAGGGAGCATGTGGAGACGGGGGTGTGTCTGCTCGAGGCCAGCGAGAATGGCAAACAGGTCATCGAGTGCTTCGAGGAATTGGAGCAGGACGGGTGCGAGATCCTCCGCCACAGGAAGGTGTACGGGGACTGGGACTCCGTCCTGTACGAGCTGCGTCTCATGACCAGGGCCATCTCCGCGACGCCGCGGTTCTGCGAGATGTACTACATCTGGGAAGCCAGGATTCCGGGAAGGACACCAAGGTGAAGATGTTGCACGCCTTCCTCGGTCACAAAGAGAACAACTACGGGGTGCAGCTTCCGGGAAACTATGTGGTGCAGCAGACTCGCTACCTGACCGCGAAGGACGGACCCGCGCCTTACCATGCAAGGACTCTAGGCAAGCGGCTGGCCTGGGCCAGTGAAGTCCCCGAGCACTACTCGTTGGCGGATGACTTCATCAAGCCCTTTTGGACATGGAAGGTGCGCCAGTCTGCAGCAGGAAGCTCAACAAGGGTCCCCGGGACTTCATGCCTACGGCTTTGCTGGTGGCAACAAGCAATTCCCCTCCCCGTGTGACTCGACCGGATGGGATGCTGCGGCGGCTTCGAGTCTGCCAGACAACGGTCAGCTTCACCTTGAAGCCGTCCATGGCCACCGTGGAGCGAGCCGTGGATGGCCTCAAGACCCGGATAAACCAAGGAGAGTTCAACAAGTACATGTTCTTCCTTGCGGCAAATCTCGTGGACTCGTTGGAGATGGAGTACAACCCAGGCACCGAGATCAAGCCGCAGCCACCGGAGATGAAGATGAGCGCCATGGACCTGGTCCCATGTGCAGACAAGGACGAGGAGGCCAAACCCGAGGCCTTCATGGCGGAGATGTGTGAGCGGGTGCCCTTGAAGGAAGCAAGCCTCCACACGGAGCTGACGATGGCGCTGAAGACCTACCTCAGCCTGGACACCTTGGGCGCGGCAAAGAGCGTGATCTCGAAGTTGGGGATCAAAGGACAATCCTATGGCCGCGGTACATCTCCACCCTCAAGCAAAATGAGCGCATGGTGGGTGTGAAGCTCCGATCGGCAAGTAGCTCTTAGCTTTTTGGGTGACGTACAGTGTGTCAGCCATTTGCAGAGACCCGGCAAGTCACGTGAACAGATGGCGTGCTTGCGCAAGGAAAACGCTGTCCAACCCTTGCTGTCTTGAGTAGTAAGGAAAGGCAGCTTATACTACCCTAATTCATTTTGATTTTTGGGCCAAAAACCCTGCAAAACAGCCAAATTCTTCAACCCGCTGAACGTTTTTCCGATGTCACCGGTCAATGTCACCACTCCGTTTTTGGTGCAAAAAGCGCTGAAAACGGCGAACTCCGAAAAGTGCGTTTTTTTCGTGTCCTGCGTCAAAAGTGCAGCCCGGGCCTCCAAATTCGCTCGTTTTCCTGCGAAAACCGGTTCCAGGTGTTTGCAGTGCTCCGAAATCCGTATTCTACCCCGAAAAACCTGCGAATTCCAGCCCGCCAAGCTTGTCACCGCCAAAGTCACCGGTCTCTAACACGTCAGCCCGCCGAGGCACAGCCCAGAGCCAGCCAGCGTCTGACGCGGCAGCCCGCCGAGGTGCTTCCGAGTAACACGTCAGCCCGCCGAGGTTTTTCCACGTAACGCGTCAGCCCGCTGAGCTTGTCACCGCCGAAGTCACCGGTCTCTAACACGTCAGCCCGCCGAGGCCCCGGGAGGAATCGAGCCTCCGAAACGTCGCTACGGAGAGCAGCGCAACGCTTAAACCATCTCACCATGGGCTCTCGCTACCAGTCCAAAACGGCGCTTTTTGGCCCAAAAACACGGTCATCGACGATGTCACCGCTTCGTCACCGCTCTCTCTTTGGGGCCGAAAAGTGCGCAAAAGGCTTAGAAAAGCGAGTTCTCTGGCGACCTCGCTCCAGGCCGAAGTCGGATTGGGGCCTGGTGCGGGCCTGGTGCGGGCCTGGTGCGGCCCTGGCAATCCTGTGTTGGCCACAGGATTGCTGCCTCAATCCTGCGGCACACACAGGATTGCCCCTGCCATTCCTGTGGCACACACAGGATTGCCCTGAGGCGCTACCAGCAGCTCTGGCTTGGAGCCGTTCTTGCCCGAGCACAGCCTTGTGATGGAGCCGGCCCTGCTGTAGAGCTCCCAGGCTTCAGGCACGTCGTTTATGCTTACGAGGAAGGGCAGGCCGCGTGCGAAGAGCGCGTCTCGGAGCTCCGAGTGGAAGGCCAGGTCATGCCCCCGCCTCCTCGTGCCATAGTAGTTCATGCTGCGGCCTGGGAAGATGTAGGGAGGATCGGCGTAGATACAATGCCGCGGCGCTTGGCTGGGCAGAGCGCGTAGATGGGCCAGTGCGTCCTGGCATCGCGCGGTCACGTTTGTGGGAGGCCGCTGCAGACGCCGCACGCTGTTTGTTCAGCGCCAGTGGCCGCTGCTGTGCGAAGGAGCCCCACTTTCCCGAGAAGCTGTTGCGCAGCAGGACGTATGAGCAGGCGGCCCGGCGCCCGGCGCGGCCTCTCTGAGTGCCCGGCAGGAGGCGACTGAAGTAGAAGCGCCTGTCTATCTTGCGCCCCGCCAGGCGCAGCAAGCGCAGGAAGACCGGGTCTTGCCTTAAGTAGCAGCGGTGCAGGTTTGCGACGGGCTCAAAGGCGTCGACACCACGCACCTCCAGGGCCGGACGCCAGGTTGCGAGGTAGTACTCCAGCTTTCCAGAGCCGAAGAAGGAAGAGTGAAGCACGGCGACGTCTCCCAGCAGCCGGTGCACGTGTGGAGCTAACCAGGATTTACTTCCCATGTACTTCAGTTGCATGCCAGCCTTTAGATTCATCCCGGTCTCACAGGCGCACGTGAAGTGACAGTGCGCAAGACATTCGTGTCGAACTGGAAGTATACCAGGAAGTGAAGGATCTTGTCCTTCACTTCAAATTCCCCGGTGCAGGTCGCTATACCACCCCGGTGGCCGACCTGCGCACCACCCTGCTCGCGGTCCTGCGCCTCCGGAGCCGCGGCTTCCCCGCGTCGAATTTGGCAAGTAAGGCAAAGGAACAAAGTCATGGGGAAGATCAAGCTGTTTCCTACGGCCGAGTACAGCAGCAAACAGCCCACGGACCCCGTGGTGCCCCTGGTACCATGTACGGGCATCTTCCTCGGCCCCAGCAAGTCCGGCAAAACCGTGGCGCTGATCAGCATGATTCTGGAGCAATACCGCGGAGTCTTCGAGAAAATCTATATCTTCAGTCCGTCCATCAATATCGACGACGGCTGGATCCCCGTCAAGAAGTACATAGAGGAGGACCTGGGGGTGAATACCGAACGGGAGAGGGCCTACTACGACGAGTGGGACGAGGCAGCGCTGCGGGACATCATCCAGAGGCAGCGCAAGATCACCGAGACATCCAAGAAGTTGGAGATGAAGAAGCTGTATCAGGTGCTGATAATCTGCGACGACTTCGCAGATAGCCCACAGCTGCACAAGGCCCACGGCGCCCTGGACACGCTCTTCATCAGGGGTCGGCACCTCCAAATCAGCACCGGGGTGAGCTCACAGAAGCTGAGACTAATCAGCGCAGCCGTGCGGGTCAATCAGCAATTCCTCTGCTGCTGGAGGCTGCGCAACCAGCACGAGCTGGAGGCCGTCATCGAAGAGCTCAGCGCCCTGCTGCCGAAGGACAAGCTGCACAGGATCTACGAGCAGGCGACCCGAGAGCCCTACAGCTTCCTCTTCGGCTACTACCTCAAGCCAAAGAATGAGATGTTCTACTTGCGCTTCGAAGAGCGCTTCGCTCTGGAAAAAGAAGCCGATGGGAGCGGCGCTCAGCTTCCTGGGCCAGAAGCTGTTCGCTAGCTCTACGCTCATCAATGCGAGGTGCGAAAATATCTCCTGCTGCACCTCCGTCGCAGCAGTCCAGCCGCCCGTCGTTCGCAGAACGGGTGGCTTCCTAAAGAAAAGAATGACGACGATCTACGTGGACAGCCGCAAGAGGGTAGCCGGCTCGGACAGCGACTTCGAGGTAGACCTGGGAGAGTCCCTGCTCCTGCAGAGCGACGCCAGGCTGGCCGTCTACAAGATCAGAATCGCCGACAGCTTCCTCTCGACAGACCGGGGCCGCTACCTCTACTGGGTGGACGCCGCGCTCGGCACGCTGAATGGGGCGCTGCTGCCCGAGGGCGCCTACACGGGCTCCCGGCTGGCCGCCTGGATCAGCTCCAACTTCGCTACTGCTACCTACAGCGAGACCACGAACAGCCTCAGCGTAGCCTACGACGGCAACCGTCTCATTCTGAACGATCTGGAGCTGCAGCAGCAGTTCCCTAACGCTGTGGACTACCCCACCTCGCCGGCCGCCTCGCCATCCAAGCCCTTCAGCATCGACCACATGCTCAGCCCGAGCTTCGTCTCCGGCGGGCAGCAGGTCTTCGAGTTCGTGCGCATGATGGCATACAACGAGGTCTACCTGCGCTGCCC